ATTCATAATGTCATCTTCAGTTTGCATCAATACTATTAAAACTCTCCTTTTTTAATTCTAATGGCTTCGAACGTGACGCAAGATTGCCCGTTCTCTTTTATTCCGACATTTCAGCTTCCGGCACATACTACGGATATTTCATGAAACCGTGACGTAGTAGTTGGATGATAAAGTACCAAAAAATTTTACCATCGTATTATTAAGATTATGATACTGAGTGCTCAGCGGTATTGCCTAGAACCTGTCATCTTAAGCAATGAGTTTGACTTTTTAAATAGGATGTTCCAGAAAAATGACTGACTATCCAATCTTCATTATCCTAAATACGGTCCCAAAATTATAGAGTTATCGGTCGAGATCGGAAACGATTACTGAGAGAATTGTCTTACGTGCTGTACTTATTTAAGGGTTAGCTGCTGTTGCTTTGTTTTCTTGGTATTTGTATTTTTATGTTCTTCTTACCCATTATGTAGAAGACGACGTGAGGTGCCCACAAATATTCTACCTGAATGGAATAAATACGTCGTCACTGTTCACTTTTTCCATCCTGTGGCAGTTCTAACAAGATCTTTCCATTTTTTTGGAGGTCTGCCTGGCGGCCGCCTGCTGTCAGGCTTTGCGCTAAATATCTGTTTAGCAAGGCGGCAATCGTCTGTTCGTTTGCAGTGGTCTCACCACCTTAAACGCCTTGTTTGCTGCCAGTCAGTCAGTCTAGTTGGATATTCTAATTTCTTTCTTACAACAGCAATCGACACCAAGTCGTTCGACCTCGCTCCTAATACTGACCTTAAAATATTCATTTTCATCGCTTCCAGTTTTGTGCTTTCAAATTTATTAAGTGATTCCATCCATTCCGTTCAGGTGATAGTGCAAGATGTTCATATTTTTGTCCTTGTGGATTAAATGACTTAAGCTCCTATTAACTTCATTGTCGTTCGCCCGTCGGCAGTCAATGCACTCCGAAGATACAGAAGTTCTGGACGTTTTCCATAACTTTAACTTGAAGGGTCAAATAGTCCTTAATATGGGTTCTACCCATTGCGATCTACATTGTCTTCTTTAATAAATCGAAAATCCCACATTAGAACATCTGATTCAGTTGAGAACAGTGATATCATAGCTTCGATGTTGCTTGCAAGCTGTACGATATCATCTGCAAATGCAAGAGAATTTACGCAGACCATACCCACTCTTGTCTCTGTGGTTTCGTTCATTCGCATTGACTGCAGCATTCAGCCATCGCAAAGAGTGCTTCTCCGTGCCCTACTCCGAACATTGTGTGAAAGAATTTGTCCATCCTACTATCAATTTGCAGTGTGCTTGACGAAAGATCATGCATCCTTTTAATTATGCGAATAATCTTTTTGGGATTTTATTTTCTTCACTAACTTTCTATGCACTTTCTCTTCGGATTGAGTGAAAAGCTTTTGTGAAATCAACGAAGAATGCAGAAAGTTTGCATCATCATTCTTTGTTTTCTTCTGTTGGCTCCCATTGCAGATATCTATTCCAAGCATCCTATGTCTGTCCTGAATCCAGGCTCCTCTTCATCCAAGATCTCTCAAGATTCTGTCTAAACGTATTCGTCATAATACGCATGAATACTCTGGCAGGAACGGAGAGTAGACTGGTTTAGCGGTTGTTTGCACCCGTACAACGGAATTTTTTTTATATCTTTCGAAAGAACAAAAATATCTTTCGTTGCTTCATTTCGGATCTCCTTTTTTGCCATACCTATCCAAAGAGATTTTTACAATGAATACTCATAATTCTGCTTAACACTGTACATTGTTTCAGGGCCGGCAGGCGATGGAGCTAGTCATCAACAATATTAGAAAAGAATACGATGATCTCTCCAGTAAACTGAACCCGGAACTGAACGAGCTTCGACTACCATCCTGAATCCGCGTTGTTTTTATCGCTCTCAGAATGATGAAGTGTCGTAACTCGTCAGCGCTAGTGATTGTGATTTTCTTCTGGCTTTCAGAGGTTTTTAAAGCTGACATGTTTTGGCCTCTCGTAAGCATAGTTTTAAAAATAAAGTTTCACCAGTCTTGTTTTTTGTGATTGTTCTTCGCCACCGGTTTTCTGCTTTCGTTTAGCATTGCAGCATTGAAAACTTATTTTGCTTTGTGGTTTGTTGTTTTAAAGTTAGTCGGTCGTTTTAGCCATTTTTGTTTGGCTATACGATATGAATATCTTGCCCAAGAAGAGATGGCACGTTCGGACGAAGGACAACGTCGCGAGAGTAAAGAGGGACGAGGCGGCGGCCCGTGAAGAAGAGAAGCAAAAGGTGCAGCGGGCTACCCTTGCTGAACAGGAGGCAAGAATCAAGCTGTTGCGAGAAAAGGCTCAGTTGAATCGCAAGTCTCAGGGGATTGACGTCGAAGTTGCAGAACCTGAACCCGAAGATGAAGTTTCGGCACACATTAACTTTTTCGCAGATGTTGAGAAGGAAAAGCAGACGTTCGGCGCCAACAAAGATTATGAGAAGGATCAGAAACTGAAGAAGGAAGAAGAAGAACGAAAAATTGGACTTTTGAAGTTCTTAGGTGAAGGTTCGTCCGAATTCATGAAAGAAGTTCCTTGGTACCAACAGCCTCCCAAACGCTTTAAAATATCCCCCGCTAAAGAATTATCTGCTGCGTCAATGCCCCCGACGAAATATGGTGACAAACGTCTCGGAACGGTTCAGAAACAAGACAGAAGCGAAACGAATATTGAAAAACTGAGATTCGAAAGGTTGAAGAGAGAAAAGGCGGAAAGCTTGAAAGCGGAACTTCTTTTGCGGCAAATACACGGCATTCCTCTTGTAAAGAATGATGAACACCTTGATTCACAGAGTAAAGAGAAGACATACAAACAGAAGTATAATTCACAGTTTAATCCCGATTTGGCAAAACAGAATCGTACGTAAATTGTAGCATTTGTTTCAGATGTTTATCTTCCAAATTTTAGTGTATGAAATGATTAATAAATTATAACCTTTTTCTTGTTCGGCTGAATCACGTACTTTTCATTCTGTGTCTGAAATTTTAAATCGTTCATACCGGTACACAAATTTAAATCGTGGTTTGTTCCGTGCTGGTACTGCGTTAAATTTATTCTGTGTTCCAGTTCCTATGTCATTTGTACCTTTTACTTCAAATATTTCACCATACTACCGCTAAACGTAACCATATCACAGGAAAAAATCGCATAAAGAGGGAAGAATGACGATAATTCCTCCAAAACCAGGTTTCACGCCATATTTAACCTTTTCTTGGTTCCACGGGAACCATTTAAGCAGGCCAAAGCTCCATGGAATTTGAGCACCTGCGGTGAGATGCACTCTCGCATCATTGTATCTGCTAGAGTTGCCGCGTTCACGATCAATGTTTCAGAATATGATATTCCCTATATATGCTGTCGCATAAACATAAAAGAATTTTCACTCGCCGGAGTATGTTAAATGGTGCATAGTTCCTCCAAGACCTGATTGCACGGCGTATTGCGTCGCTGCCTTGCTCTTAATGCCTGGAGAGGGCATTTAGGCAAGGTAGGAAAAGGAAAATAGAATTATTTATGAAGTTGCGCGGCAAACGCTGACGAAATGCCTTTCGGTTTAAACAGACTTTGGCCAGAAACAGGTACTGTAATCGTCTATTAGTATATCTTTACATGATCGTTTAGGAGTGCGGGTGCTCCCATACGTCGCATAGGTCCTTACTGCAATTTTAACGGCGAAGGATGGCGAGATCGCTGAAACTCACAGAGGGCATGGCATTTACCACTTTCACGGCGTTGAAGGTAAGCGACATTTAATTGCGGTCTGTACGAAATGCTGCTTCAGCTCCCTGAAGCTCCTGAAACTTAAATCATTCACATCCAAAACTGCTCATTTCTTTCAAGAGTAGCA